TCGAAGTCAATTTCGAAGAAAAACAAAGTAAAAAGCAGACCTGGGCACTTTATGATTACGATTACATTTTGATTACTTAGGATTACGATTACTGTAATAGTAATCCAGAAAATTTTCAGCATTACGAGCACTGTAATTGTAAATATAACATGCTTGATTGCGAATACTTTAATTGTAATCCTTAAAATTTAACGATTACGACTACTACCACGTAGTCCCTAAAAATTTTAAGTTTTCAATTCCCGTAATTGTAATCATGAAAATTAGGATTGCGATTACAATAGTAAGATTCCCTACATATGCAACACGATAGTATTACGATACTATCGAAAATATCGATAGTATTTTTCAAACTATCGAATGGCGCCACTATCGATAGTTTTGCGCAATGGTAGCGTGCACGGCTAACCACAACACCACAGCGGCCGCGGTGTAACTTTATTACTTCAAATTCAAATCAATTTTACATACTTTTCGGTGAAAGTTCCGCTCATTTACTTAAATACTAAACATCTACAGAAAATTAGAAAATCGCAATCAACATTTTCTTGATTACGATTACATTAATTGTAATCATAATATTTTTAGGATTACAATTAAAGTATCCGCAATCGTAATTTTCATGATTACAATTATGGTAATTGTAATCTTAAAATTTTAAGGATTACAATTACGGTATTCGTAATCATGTTTTTCATGATTACGATTACAGTAATCTTAGTCCTTAAATTTTTAAGATCACAATTATTATAATCATAATGGTCACATTTATGAGAGTGGATGTATTTTCAATCTTTATATTCTTAAATCAAATTTGTGAAACGAAAATTCAATTTCCAAGTGTTCGCATTTAAATGACAAAAACAACGCGAATCAACTGTTTCTCAAATTCTGGGCACGAAATGCGGTTTTTTTTTGCGTTCCCGTACTTCTGGATTATGTTCCATTTTTGAGAGCAAACTTTTCGCTTATTCTCTAATTGCCGGATCCGGTCCGGATTCTTAGGGAAAGAACCTATTGTGATACCTACATATTTCATGTGCCTGAAGAAGTAAGTTAACCTTTTTTTTTAAATACGTGACCACGCTCTTATATTTTAAACAGGTAGCAACGCTCTTAAATATTATTAATATCCACACCAAGGATATATTACCACCTTCGTTTCACGTCATATTTTAATAGTTTTAATTCTAATTTAAAAAACAGGTGGCAACCCTATTCAAAATAATTTAAAACCAAAACCTTGTTACACCCTTTTCGACTGACACACATATTGCGACACATATTTAAATTGTATATCTAATTCCCTTAATTCAACTTGAATTTAATTTCTAAAATATATGGCAACCCTCTTAAAGAAAGTCGAGAAAAAAACATTTTTAACATATACCCATTCCTTAATAATCATTAGACTTATTATATAATTTCAGATCAACTTTTTACTCAGGTGGAGACCCTCTTTAATGTTATAAATGCCGAAACAAAATTTTTCTTAATACTCCTTTGTTTGGCGTCAATATTTCATATAATTTGATTTAATTCAACTTTTCAAACAGATGTAACTCCTGTTCAAATTATTTGTAAACCAAAACCTCGTTGACCTTTTTCGTCTGACTCTTAATTCAATTTGAATTTTGTTATAAAATCAGGTGGCAACACTCTTACATGCAGTTTGGAAATCAAGTTTCTTCAAAGCAATTTTAACTATTTAACCTATTGCTTATATTGAATCTAACTTTGTAGCAAGGTGGCAACCCTCTCCAAAATATTTTCAAATCACAACCTCTTTCGTCTGACATCCATATCAGGATATACATTTCAATTTTCTGCCTTTATTTAAGTCGAGCTTGCTTTTTGAAACAGGTGGCAATCTTCCTACATATAATTAATAAATAAAGCCTTTTCAAGACCATTTCGATCGATACTCATAGTGTAATTATTGATTTAACTTAAAAATAATTTGAATTTAATTTTTTTATCAGGTGGCAAATCTTTTTGAAAAAAGAAGAAGTTACTGCACATCTGCAGGCCAAGCCCTATAATTTGATACCTCATATAATGAAATCGAACGAACGGTACAGATCTGATATGACGACAAGTAATTTTTAGCAAAAAAAGCCGACTATGAGAGTTGAAGTCGGTATATATATATATATATATATATATTTATCACATGATCCACTGATCGGATCTTAACCAGTATGGGACCACCTATGAGACACTACCTTTCCGATACAAAAAGAATTATCGAAATCGGTTGACGTAGTCCAAAGTTATGCGGTAACATACATAAAAAAAAAATATTCCGACGAACTGATAACTTCCTCCTTTTTTGGAATTCGGTTAAAAAGAACGGCAATCAACATATGTACGTACGTGCATACGGTTTTCGTTTTGAAATGGCTTCACTAGTTCTCGTGCAATAAGCGTTTTCGTGAAGCTTTATAAATTACAACTACAACACTTAAGCATAGTCTTAATGTCAAGCCTGCTATGAAATGTGGATATTAGCTGGGTTCCCGTACAACACATTACCGATGGCTTCCGTTTCTTAACCCAAAAACTGGGTCGACAGTAGTTATGTTATACGCGAACAAAGTTATTGTCACAGACAACTTGCACTTGCGTAAGCAGCTTGCAGGCGGCTTTCGATTTTTTTACTTGCAGCCTACAACTAGCAAGTGTGGCCGCTCAGTAATGAAATTTGTTAACCAAGATACTTCTCGTAAAAAGGCTAAAGTTTAAAAGGCATAAAAAAAATATGAACGAACTTTTTTTGGCCTTATAAGTACATATTTCTGTACTTCGAAGGGATGATGTTAAGGTACTGATTGGGTCGCTGGCCTTTCTCAATGAACTTTCTTAACACATAATTTGCATCTTTTTGTTTGGCGTGTAACCGCTTAAGCTATTTTGGCCAGGTTCGTTTCCCTTCTGCGCCAACTGACGCCAATCGGAAATGGCAAATTCACCAGGTCTTTCCACCGCAGAGGAGTTGTTCCTCTGCTACCACCAGCGGGTTCCCGACTTGAATAAGTTCACAGCTGGAGCGTCTTTGTCGATTCGAATGACATGGTCGCTGTGTTGTACCACATCGCACTATATCTATGTACATATGTATGTATTTCGTTGTAAAGCTCATACAGCTCATCGTCCCAACGTCTGCGGACGCGCCGACGTTGTAAATGCCGCCTCATCGGTTGTGTTCATTGTCTATGCTTCTGCGCCATAACCGAGCACGCAAATGATGACTGTCTTATAGAGTGCGGTTTTCGTATGTCGAGAGACGACTTTACTTTCCAATTGCCTACTCAGCCCAAAAAAGCACTTGTTGGCAAAAGTGAGTCCGTGTCAGATTTTGGAGCTGACATTGTATGTCGGTGTTAATGCTGGATCCCAAATAAATAGAATTCTTTACTTTATCGAAATTTTAGCAAACAACAGTGACATGGGTGCCACCCTTATCCAACTCGGAAAAGGCAGAAGAGGCTTCGCGTTTTTCGTTACAGATCATGTCGATGTCGTTGGCACCCACCAGCAACTGTACGCGCTTATAACACTGGTTTACAGCAAAAATGTTCTCTGGATGGCTCCATAAAATTCCTATGTAGAATTGCTCAGTGATTCCGAAAATCGAGTTATTTTTTATGGATACGTTTTCGAGATATTTGCAATTTACCGTTATTCAGCTTAGAAAAGTAGTGGTTCGTTCGAACCAATTTAACGATCTTAATACGAAATACGACAAATGAAAGCTAATAAAATTCTCCATAAAACATATATACATCACTTTCCGCTAGGGAAATCGTTACAGTTTTTTTTTATTTTTATGAAAAAATTAAAAAAATCAAACTTTAACAGAAGAATAATTTAAAAACTAACAGGTTTTGTGCCAAATTTTTGCAATTGTGCTAAAGCCTGTTCGGTTATAAAAAAAATCAAGTTACTAATGTAAGAAAGCGAGGTGAAATAAATAAATAATTAAAGGGGTAGTTAAATGTTCTCTCCACAATTTAAGCACGCTCCGAGGTTGCCGTGTATGATCTTACAGAAATTCGCTCTGGTCTTGAAACGTAATCGAGAGTTTGTTTTTCTACGCAAAAAGGAATGAAGTGAAGACATATAAAATTTAAAATTTTTTTATATTGAAAGAGTGGTCATGACGGTTATATTATTCCAAGAGACTTTCTTTGAGATATTGAATGGATTTTTTATGTTTAGTTATGTTGCTACAAATAAATACAAAATACACGCAATGAATCACTAAGTACACACCAAGTTGCATCATGGGGAATAATTTGATTACGTATGTAGAAGAAAATAACAAAAAAAATAAAATAACGACTGCAGCCATCCAATGTCTTTAATCTTATCTTGATGAAAAATTTAAATATGTTTCTATTTTTTATAGCCAGAGAAACAAGCCAAAGCCATCAGCCGCCTAACTGCAGCATCATAAATTCTGCAGTTCATCAACACATCCGCCACTACTTATTAGTTTAGCTATCGGTGTTATCTTGACAAGTGTTTGCTCTAATTCGCCAAAACGGTTTACTCGTAAGTTTTCTGATCTTATCTTGACAGTGAATCTGAACGAAGTGTGCCAAGATAAAATTTTCGCATAAAAGGCCAAGACTGTCGCAGCCACTTATTAGTAACGAATAAATTTTCGAAAACAACGATGACTACGACGAAATTCACTAGATTAGCCTTGCTGCTACTGGTAATACTTTTTAAAAATTTGCAAATTAAAACGTGTTTAAAAGAGTTTCAAAATGATCATTATGGAATAGAGTTTATTCAAACACTTAATCAATGCATTAATTAAAAAAAATATCGATTTTCTGAGAGTATTCAAGAACAAAATTATCAGGAAAAATTTTGCAAGTGTTGTGGGAAACTTATGAACAGATGAATTAAATAAAAATAAATTTATCCAAACTAGAAAAAGTAATACATATGTATACAAAAACTAATGTGGTTTCCTTTTTCTTTCGTAGTTCGCTTCTGCAGCTACAGCGCAACAGGCTCAAGGCATCAACTGCTACGGTAAAGCATACGTCTGCGTTGGTCCCCTCAACTATAAAGGCTGCGCAGGAGATGCTCAAGGTAATAGCTTTGCTACCGGTAACGCCATCCAGTGTCCACCCAATCACCGCTGCGTAAACGATGGCGTAGAAATTTGCATTCCACTTAAGTCGACCACGGCGGAACCTCAAGCAGTTCCTTTGATCAATACACAGCCAAGAGCTTTCAATTCACCTTCAACAGAAGCACCATTTCAGTCAACTTCTTTAAGTTCCGATTCTACGAACTTAATAATCACTTCTACTTCACAGCCAGCAGCTTCATCCTCTGCTCTAATTCAAGAAAAGCCAAGTATTCCTGCGGACGCAACCACCGCTGCTGGTGGGCCAATATGGACTACATATTCAACAGAGGATGCCATTATTTGGGATACCACAACAGATGGTACAACGACTGAAACAGATGTAAACACGCTTGAGCCGCAATCATCAGCCGTTCCAAACAGGCTATTATACTCCACTGTACTCCCGGAGGAAACGACAACTGTTCCAGCAGAAACAACTTCTTTTCCAAGCGAAGCCACAGACGCCACTGACGCCACCACCATCTTGGACACTGATGAGACATTGATAGCGACAATTACAGCTGATCCCAGTACTCTAGACGATGTTAACACTATCTATGTGACAAGTTCACTTAAAGAATCAACTTTAATTTCCGTCGAAACCACAACTGAAATTCCAGTTTCAGAAACAACCATTTGGGAAACTACTACAGGACTGGGCGATGCCACTATTCCCACAGGCGTTAATGATCCACCTTTCACTAGCAACGAGCTTAGTCCTACTGAGAATGGAATACAGGGCCCGAATACACCAGCCGATACCACGTCGCCTGACGATCCGAGTACGCCAGTGAACCCGAATGGATCAGTTGGTCCCAATGAACCAGTAGACCCTGCGGCGCCCGCAGATCCCAATATTCCAGTAAACCCGAATGGAACAACTGGCCCCAATGCACCAGTAGATCCCGCATCGCCCGTAGATCCGAGTGCTCAAGGAAACCCGAATGGATCAGTTGGCCCAAACGCATTAGTAGACCCCGTGTCGCTTGTAGACCCTAGTGCTCCGGTGAACCCGAATGAATCAGTTGGCCCCAATGCGCCTGTAGAGCCCACGTCGCCTATAGATCCTAGTGCTCCGGTGAACCCGAATGGATCTGTGGGCCCCAATGCACCAGTAGACCCCGCGTCACCTGTAGATCCTAGTGCTCCAGTGAACCCTAATGAATTAGTTGGACCCAGTGCACCAGTAGACCCCGCCTCACCTGTATATCCTAGTGCTCCAGTAAACCCGAATGAATCAGTTGGCCATAATGCACCAGTAGACCCCGCGTCGCCCGTAGATC